ACTTTTGTACCGATTCATGAGCAATGGACCAATTCTCAACCATCCTCCCCACCCAGCCGGAATTCCCATTTTGGTGTCACGACGCTTTCCCGCGTGGGAGGAGGGTTTCCCCAGGAGAAGGTGCCAGGCAAGACTGTTCAGTGCAAGAACAGCACTTGGCGCCCCTTGATCACTCCCCAAACACGCCCCATTGCTTTCATAGCCAGCCTCAAACACCAGCCTCCTGCTCGGGCAGACGGCAATGCCTACCTTGTCTCGGATCCCTTGGCGCATCACTTCTCTTTCGGCCTCCATCTTTGCATATTTGGCTTTCCTTTCCTCCTCTTCCTGTCGCAGGGCTTCCTGCCTTTCCTCCTCCTTCTTGGCGGCGTCAGGGTCTTTTTCTTCATCTCCACCCAGCATCTTCCCCATGTCTTTGGTAGCCCCTACAGACAAGACACAAGAAGGGGACAGTGGGCAAGTGAGCCAGAACAGCCCAAAGGACACGTCAATACAAGCCGGCCCATTCTTGTAGTAAAGTGGCCATAAGGTGGGTTAACAGGGCTTCCCCTAGTATCGTGGGATGGAGCCGTGCTCCGCCCCTCCCTTACTTCCTGTCTTGGCAATGGGAGTTTCTCGCCACTCTCCTTGCTAGTTACCTAAAGCAGCCTGTTCCCAGCCGGCAGCCCTGTGAGTGGAGAAGGGATTTCATTGCACTGTGCAGTCCCTTTGCAAAACTCCTGCATGGCCCGGGGCTGCAAGAGAGGGCCCATCCTGCTTCCTTGGCCGTTGGAAAGGGTTCTCCTGCCCACACAGGGAGTGAGCCAAGCTCGGAGGCAGGATAAGGTCAGCATGTAGCCAGGAGTGGCCCTAGACGAGCTGCCGGCAACTGGCACCCTAGGTGAAACACGCGATTGGCGCACGATCGGTGCCCCCGCCTCCAAAGCCCTCAATGGCCGTTTATCTTGGCACCCTCGGTAACTGCCTAGTTTGCCTGTATTGACGGGCCGCCCCTGCACGTAGCAAAGGAAACCGTAACCAGGCCAAACGACACTCATGCAAGTGCTTCTGCAGGTAGGGTTGGCACCTGTCTGAACTCACAAACCCAAACACCCTTTGCCCACCCCTGTCCTGAGGCCCAGCCCCTGCCCTGCCTCTTCTCTAAGCCCCCCGCCCCCATCGCTTGCTCTCCCCCACACTCATTCACGTTCTCTGGACTGGGGCAGGGGTTGGAGTGCACGAGGGGGTGAGGGACTGGGGCCCAGGACTTTGCAGTGTGGCAGGGAGCTCTGGTCAGAGCCAGGGGCAGGGTTGGGGTTCATTCACCCCATAGACAAGCTGGGCTGCATAGTGGCTGAGAGGTCATGGCCCTCGGCAGAGCAAGGCCTCCCTAGCGGCAGGACTAGACAGACCTGAGCCAACAGCGTCTCTGGGCTGCTCCTTATGGCTCCGCTCTGCTCTACGGGGATAGCACAGATGGCATCAGGCCCCTCAGCAGGCTGGGCAGGTGGGGCCTTCCTGCTCCTCACTCCCCTGCTGGTCTCTAGCTCCTGGACCCGGTGCTCTCCAGAGCCCTCTCTCGACCATCACATGTGGCTCTTGCCCAGCCATGCTGGGGGCGGGGGACTTCCCACAAGAACCCCGCTGCCCCCACATAGCTGTGCTTGGGCCACGCACAGTCCAGGCTGGAGGAATCTGGAACCAAGGACAGGGGGTTGATTCTTTGCGGCTGGGGTGGCTCCGGTACCGCCTCACAGTTGTGAACAGGACCGAGCTATGACACCATGTGAATTCATACTCCACCGCCTGCCCCGGGAGGAAGGGGGCATGCGGGGTCCCCCTGCCTTGCTGGCACCCATGCAGGCAGGCAGAACAGCCACTGCCAGGCTGCCGTGTAAGACACACAGCCCCTGCGTCGGGCTGGGCCCAGAGCAGAAGCAATGTGCACTAGCAAGAAGCAAAGGGTGACTTTTGGGCTCCTGGCCCGGTTACAGGCGTGCCCTTTCTTGGTCTAGCTAAGGGATGGTCTAGATCAAGGTGGGCAATAAAACAGCAACGATTCACCGGAGTTAGCCCCTGGCGGGCTGCTACCACTATATGCACCTGCACCTCCGCAAGTGCGGGCGATCGCAGCTCCCCTTGGCCAGGCTCAGCGATCAGCAGCCACCGCAAGCTGCAATCCCCCGTACAGCAGTGTGGGGGCTAGAACTCGGTAGGGTAGAGTGAGGTGGTACACACGGGGCTGATTATACAGCGAACTTGCTGTCTGGAGCAGCTCAGCCCATCGTGATATGTAATTAGCAGCTTGAGCTCCTCAGAAATCTTTCCACTGGTAACCACGCTGTTTTAGATTCAGAGCACTGTCCGGTTATCTGCCTGTAGTTTATCTTCAGCTGGAGCTGCCTGGGCCGCACAGTGAGCTAGCTACTCGGGGAGCTGAATGCTGAGACAGAAAACGAGAGCAGGCTATTGCCGTTAAGCTTTGCTGTGCAAGCTATGTCATCTCGCAGTCACAGCCTGGCCTGTGATATATGAAACAGACCAGACAGCCTCTTCCACCCCCCTCGGCACTCCCCCCCTCGGCACTCTTGGAATCCTACAGCTATTTCATTCTAAAATTAGTCCATGCAAAGGGCACCTTACAGAAAAGAGACCTAGGTACCAGGGTTCCCGTCCAGTCCTTTAACTCCTCAGAGAATCCAAAGCCGTTCTCTCGATGCCCTGAATGTTGAGCTGAGATACCATTGCTGGGGGATGGGACCGTAATGTCTGGCAAGAGGCTGTGGTGTCATGCAACATTTTAACCCCTATTTTGGTGTGGGAAGCACGTTTTTATGTCTCTTTTCTTCTTCCTCCAAATGTTCAGTTTCCACTTTCATTGGCCACTGGAGAGCAGCTTTTCGCAGGGTTTTTTTAAGCGGATGAGCAACAGGAGCCACGTTCTGGTGGGGGGGGGGGGGGGTGTGACTCAAGAATTCAATGCCATTCAACCGAGACTCCCAATCACAATCGCCGGCAGGAGGAAACAGCAGATTGTTCTGCCCTTTTGCCTTCTGGAGCTGCCGGGAGGTGGGAAAGCAAGTGCCTGGTGGTGGAAGCTCTTTAGTCAAGCCCAAGTCTTAGCGCTTTCCTTCAGGAGCAACCCGGGGAAAGTGACAGTGTCCTTGGTGGGCTAGTGGGTGAGCCTTGCCCGGACTCTGACCCCACCAGGCAGGCAGCAGTACTCTCGTTCGCGTTAAGGGTTCTACAGTGGTCACCTGGTGCTCCGGAAGTTATGGGGCCAGTTCTCTATGGCGCCCCGGTGCTTCTGGGTGCAGTGCCCGGTAGGGAACGTAAGCAGCCGCTCCCAGCTTCCCAAGCCCCTGAGCCACCCTCTGGAGGGAGTTCAGATCAGCCCTGGAGCTGCACTAAAATCTCCCAACTAATAATGGTTGTCAAGGGCCATCCTCCAGCTGGGGCTAGCCAGGCCCCCTGCCTGCTCCAAGGTGATGTTGTGCCGGGCGCTGTCAGGGAAGAATGGCTACTCTCATGCTTTGCCTATTGGCAATCCCATCTGAGAAAGGAATTGCAAGCTGGGACTAGCCCGCTCCATGGCAGGGTGTCCGAGACAAACGATGGCAGACAGTGGGTTTTCAGGGGACTTGCAAAGGGAGAACATCATGGAAATGTGGACATTTTTGTACAGTAGAAATGGTATAGCGAGACGCGCACCTTGTCAGGGACAAGTGGGTAAGCTATACATGAGACGAGTGCTTGGGTGGGCACAAAACGAATGCCCAGAGCTCACATGGGAGTGTGCAGAGACTTGTTTGCATCTTGCAGAAATACCCACCCATGAGAGTTTGCCTGTGCATTTGGGCAGATTATATGGTGGGTGGTGCCGGGGCAAGAAGATTCAAAGGGTGCAACTTATGACTCTGGCTGGTAGCACACGTTGGCTATGTCTACACTGCACAGTTATTTCGGAATAAGCTATTCCGGAATAGTTATTCTGAAATAGCTTATTTTGAAATAGCGTATGTACACTGCAGGGAAGCCTCAAAATGAGTCCGAGGCTGGCTTCCTTAAGGTAAACTTGCTATCTCGATTTAGTGTCCCAGGAGGAATAACTTAGAATGGTCCAGGTGAGGGACTATTTCGAAATAGCAGAAGTGGAGCCTCTACATGGGCCTTATTTCGAAATAGGCATTATTCTGCGTAGAATGGGGTTTACAGAAGTTGCAATAAGCTGTCTGTTATTTTGGAATTATTTCGAATTAATGGAATTGTTGTGTAGACACTCGCATGGTTATTTCGGAATAACGGACGTTATTCCAAAACAACTTTACTGTGTAGACACACCCTCTGAGAGTAGGTCAAGTTTCAGCCTAAAATTTCAGAGCTGGCGTTTGAAAACGTGATCTGAAGGTTATGGAATGTTGATGCACTACTCTCAAAATGTACTACCCCTTAGAGCCAAAAACCTTACGAGTCACAAAAGAGGTTAACATTTTGCTTTGCTTGACACGATAGAGAGCCTCAGAACAGGCTTTTTGATCATTCTTTTTTTACCAGAGCCTTATTTAGAATGAACAGAAGGGACAACCTAGTGTCTCAGACTTTGAGTCACAGTATGATTTGAATCTTTTCATCTGAACTCCTGAAGCTAATTGGAGAGTACTTTGATGAAGAGGGCCTGGAGAAGTCAAAGGGTCACTTCTCTTTGCAACATCTCTGCCTAAATGCCCTCGTTCTTCACTGACTCCGCTGGATTTCACATCTAAGCCAGATTTTTACATACCACTGCAGCAAGAGATTTTTTCCGCAAGGCGTCAATATTAGATTTCTTGTATTACAGATAAAAGCTTTTCTCCATTTCATTAGTGTCTTCCCATTAAGTCACACTATATCTTAAAAGTACTCATTCACTATCAGGAAGCTGAGGCTCCTGGAAAAGATTGTAGCAGTAATTACGGGAAGTGCTTTCTCAAGGTGGAGAAGAGAGAATCTTCATTTGCTTACTTGTCAGGAAAGCCTAGGCCAGATTTATTTTGAGATTTCAATGCACAAAAGGCATTCTTATGCAAATTCCACTACCTGAGGAAAATATACGGAAGAAACGGGAAAGTTTTCTTAACTGAAAACTTTCATTCCTGGCTATTCATATTTTGCCAAACTACCCATAAGTTCCACATATACCTCCAAACTATTCCTTCTGACTGTAGTGACACCAAGTTTCTCTGTTCCCAAGCCAAAGAGACACTTCTGTTGCTATTATTATTTTCAGTTGACTGGCGAAAAGGTACATAACAATTTTCCAACTTCTTTGAACTTCTCAGGAATAAATGAAATCAGATAACTAGCTCTCTTGCCTTGCTCATTTGAAATCAATGAGGTTCCTAGTGTAAATTTCAACCAGTAGTGGAGATCTAGGGACTCATCATTTGATGTAGCAAGCAACTTTGCT